GGGGGGGGGGGGGGGGGGGGCAGCTTCGCCTCTCCAGGCCCCCCAGGACGCGCGATTAGCGCGCGTCTTTTCAGGGTTATCTGTACATCTGGCTTTTCTTCTTTTTAAGTGTCCCGCGCATCCACCGCGGGAAGGAAGTGTATTTCCCGAAGTGGGATTTTTGTAAAATCGTACGTCTGTAAGCCATGCATTGTGTAATGGATAGTTTTTTCCGGATATTTCCTTTCCTTGGGCCGCTGTGCGACGAACAGTTCGTCCAAAAACTTTCTTCACCTGACCCACTATGCGATGCGCAGTTTGTCCGAAATCTTCCTTCACCTGAACCACTAAGCGACGAAAGCTTGTTCAAAAACTTCTTCCCCCTGACTAACTGTGCGACGAAAATTTTGTCCAAACACTTCCTCTCCCTGACCTACTGAGCGACGAAAATTTTGTCCAAACACTTCCTCTCCCTGACCTACTGAGCGACGAAAATTTTGTCCAAAAACTTCCTCCCCCTGACTCACTGTGCGGCCCTGCTCCGGCGGGCCCCTCTCATGGCGCGCCCCCCGCCTAAAACTTTTAAAGCTCGCCATATTTAAACGGCTCGGCCGATTTAGCTCAAATTCAATACCAAACTAGTCCTAGGGGAGAATTACCGTAGCAACGAGATGTATAAAATTTGGCAGGAATTCACACGAAGATAATTGAAAATAAGGATCCTTGAGACATGCGTTTAGGGGATTAATATGAGAAATTTTATTTCAGAGAGCAATGGAAAAACAAGAAAATTTAATCAATTTATTTCAATTATTTTTTTAAAAAAAAGTCACCGTAAGTAGAGCAGCCTTGATATTGGATGAGATACATATATTTTCTGTTTTGCACTGTGGTTTATTATACGTTTTCTAAATTAACAGCTTTTAACTTCAAGCTTAAATCATACATGAAACACGTTATTATTGTAAACATCACAAAAAGTAAAAAAACCTGAAAAATTTTGAGTTATTTTTTGAATTAAAAAAAATTTTGACTAGGAAATTCCTGAAATCGAAAATTTTTTACGGTGGCTGTATTGCACTGCGTGATTCGACAATAATAAATGCTCAAAGTCAAAATTTAAGAAAAAAAACTAACATAAATATCAGAATTAAA